CCCCTGTCCTGCCGGATTCGCCCCGCGACGCGATCGAGGAGTTGGTGGATCTGACCTCCCTGGGGGGCGGGGCGGGGGCGAGCCCACCACCCCGCGAAGGCAGCGAGGCGGCGGAGGACCGGGAGGCGGGGGTCGTGCGCACCGCCGTCGGTCCTATGCCCCGGGTGGGCCATTTGGGCTCCTTCAAAGACGGCCTTTCCTCGCCAATCGCTTGCCTGGACGAGGATTCCGACAGCGATTCCCCCTCCAAGAACTCCGCCATTTCTGTGGCGTACGAGCTCCCGTATAGCGTCATCGATCGGTTGGTCACCAGTAGAAAGCCGACAGGGGAAGGGGAACCATCTCGAGAGAATAAAATCAATACCCTGAAAGAGGTGGACCACGAAAACCCAAGCGAGGAGGAAATCGAGGCGAATTTAAAGGACTCGAGTGATAAATCGACTTCTAATTCTCTCGGGAAAAAAATGAAAGGCGAGTCGAATCAACATTACATAATGAAGATTTACGATTCCCCCGCGTTGGTAAAAAATCTACTTCTTTTTCTACGCTGTGGATCCGTGATGTTAAAGCACGGTCGTAGCGGAAAGCCGCACCGCCGTCTATTCTGGATTTCCTCTGGCAAAAACGCCAAGGAGCTGCACTGGGCGGACCATCAGTCCAACTTCAATGGCATCCCGTCCTCGATCTCGTTAAACAGCGTTTCCTCCATCCAGCTCGGATTTTTTAGCAAAGTCTTCCAACGGCATCCGATCCCGACCTCCGATCCGGCGTTTTTCTTTAGTTTTTCACTCGAGTTGAAGGGCGGTGTGCGGACAGTGGATATTGTAGCGAGCAACCTTCCTGATTACGAGGCCTGGGTGGTCGGGCTTGCTCACCTTATTGAAGTCGATCCCTTCTGGGGCGCAAAGCTTAACATCACGAGCGAGAAGGGCTTTGATCAGCTTTCTTATTTCGAATCCAATCTTTGCGAGACGCATTTTATTTTTCCAGTTGATTATCTAACCTTAAAGGCGAAGCTGAAGCTATTTATAAAGCATACGATTGAGGTATTAGATAAGTGTGAAAACAACGCGAAGAAGGCGCAAAAAATTCTCAAAGGCATTCACCCTCCCGCGCTGAACTCACAAGGCGCGATATACATGACGAAGGGTGAGTTGAGGTTTCTTTGCCCAAAGCTTTCGCTTGATATCTTTCGTATTTCACATATTTGGATGCTTTTTCAGCAGATGAACCTTGTGTATGATGATAATTTTGTGCCAGTTACGGCATTTGGTATCACTAAACGTTCATAACACGGAACGAAATGTTACTTGTCGATTATTTCTTTTTTTTTCTTTCCCTCTAATATGTGTGTGCGTTTACTTAAAGGGGAAGTTAATTTATTTTGTTGTTGTTTATTGTTTTAGTTTTCTTTGTCCAGGCTGTGATATAAAAGCAAGAAGAGGCTTTTTGGACAAAGCTAGGCATTATTACTATTATATATCTACCTGTGCATACTACCAAAAGTTTCCAATGATGACATTGGTGAATGTATAAAAAAAAACGTTTAGTTGGGGGGAATATGCTTTGTCTTTAAAGATTAACCCACCAAATTTGTGTGTGTAGTGATTTAATAGGTGCCTTCTAATATTTTATTTTCGCTACATTACCGGGAAACGCCAAGAACTAACTTTAACGGAGTTCATACAGGTTCCCTTAGTAGAGCAAGGTAACTCAAGGTTTATGCATGAGTAAGAAATGATTTTTTTTACATCTTTGTATAGATTATTGTATATGCACAATAATAATCATGTTGTATCATTGATATTCTGACCAAATTTAACAAATACAATATTTTGGATTATACGGTTAGAAGAGAATTCTTACTGTTTTGAAGTTTTTTTCCCTTTTAACATATACGGCGTTAAACAAAGTATATTCAGTATCGTTGCATTGAAAAGGATAACAAACGCCACCGATTTTTATATCACCCGCTTAATTTCCCGATATTTCTTTTTCTTTAGTTTCTACTTTCAGACTGATAGCTATTGTTTTTCACCAAATTTGTTATTCCCTATTAATTCTGTATCAAAACCACTCTTCTGTTTGCTTATTCTATCTCTTTGTTAAGTGTGTTTATTGTGGAAATTAACTTCAAGTTCTGTAAACTTTTTTTTGCTTTCTCTTTTTAGTAAAAAAAAATGCAGTTCATTTTGTGTCTTGGAAACGGCTACCAAGTCCTTGCGATTATAGGTAATCTAAATAATAGAGCTAGGACAATCCCATTTTAGTATCTGAAATATCTAGTTGCCCTTTTATTATGCACGAATAAACGCAAACATTAATAAAATAATCAGCAAAAAAAAAGAGTTTGTGTTCTCTGCGGAAATAAAGAAGGTTAACCATCGTGATCCATCATGAAATTCCATGTGACTTTTCTTTAACCAGTTTCTTTCGATTATGCTTGCATTTTCGATTCCATAATAATTAAAACATTAACACAATCTTCTTTATTATTATTATTTCATTTAGAATATGTGCATAGTGAGGATAAGTTAGTTATCAATCTGCATAATATTTCTCTTTTGTTTGTGTTCATACAGGGAAAGGTCAGGAGATTTTCTAATCAGGATGAAATCCTGTACGATCTATTTTTTATGTGTGTTTCTCCTTTTCACACTATTCACTCAGGAGGCCTTGGGTTGGAATTGCAAGGGGCATATGGCGGTTGCTGAGATCGCGCGTCGTCATCTTAGCGAGGAGAATCAGCAAAAAGTGAATAAAATCGCCTTGAGTTTCTCCGAAAGTGGCCCTTTTCTGGAATCGGTCGATTTTGTGCAGGCCGCCTGCTGGCCAGACGACCTTAAATCATGGCATATGTTCGCGATGAAATCGTGGCATTACATCGATCTGCCCTATTCCCCCGATAACACGTCCGTTAATAATTGTGATGTGCAGCATATGAACGTGATCTCGGCCATCCAATCGATGATAGCCGCCCTTCGCGTGAAGAAAAGCCCTGCCTATGTTCTTAACTTTGCTTTGGTGAATCTTGTGCACTTTATTGGGGATATTCATCAGCCTTTGCACACTACGACAAGATACGCAAAGAACCACCCTCATGGCGATGCCGGCGGGAACACGTTCTTTATCTTTTCGGATGGCTTAAAACTGAGTCTTCATAAATTATGGGATGATATTTGCATTCCGCACTACAAACCTTTAAAGCGCCCGCTTTCAAACAAGGACTACGCCGATCTAAAGGTGTATGTAGATTATCTGGAACATATTTACACATTCGATTCAGCGCTACTGGAAGAAGTTAATATTGAAACTTTTGCGATGGAAAGTCATGCGTTTGGGATTAACACAACGTATGTTGGAATCAATGAAGGCGAGGAGCTCTCTGGTAAGTATTTAGTGTCCTGTCAGATAGTGGCGGAGGCTCGTTTGACCCTGGCTGGATATCGTCTTGCAAACATATTGAATACGCTACTCGACAACATCGATTTGAGTCAATATTCTAAGAAGAAATATCATAAACCCGGTACGAATTTGATCATTAATGAAAAGAAACACCAAAAATCCATCAAGAAGCCGGAATCAAATAAAAGGAAGGTTAAGAACTGGAACTTTGGGAAGTTTTTTTTTCCACAGATTCTTCAATAAACTTACAAACAATACAGAAAAACATATAGAAAAAGCGTGATAAGTGCAAATGAACAAGTGAAGGCAATACTTGGTTTATCGACGAAAGACAATTATACAAGAAAGAATAATTCAACATTTTCTAAATTATTCAAGTTAATTTTAACATTAAAAAAAAGAAATAAAATTATTATTTTAGTTGATATTCTTCTTTTGCTTTAAAACCTTCTTTTTTGCCATTCGTTCAATACTGCTAAGATTTTTTCTAGTGTTAAATGTAAACCCACCTATCTTTTAAATGCTATATATCATTTAATACAACTATACACCGATACTTTCGCTATGCATCCCCGTATATTTCTATTACAATTATGCTGTTTCATTTTTATTGTTTATCTGTGATCGGGTGTCTCGTCTGATAGACCACCATCACCCCATCAAGATGCGAACATTCTACCTGTCTACCCTCTTCTTCCTCATCCTTTCTGTGTGTGTGTGTGTGTGTTACTTCACACACCCATCCCCCCCTCCCCCTCTCATAGGGTCCATCTACCACTTCAATGGCGTCCTGTTCCGAGATGGAAGGCCCCCCCCCTCCCCCCCCTTCCGCCTTTCCCGTCCTCTACCACAACTCCCAGCTCGTCGTTGTGACAAAACCCCCCGGGGTGGCCATGGACGGTGGCCCCCCCCCCTTGGCCCCTGTGGCAGGCCCTGTAACAGTGGCGAGCTGGGCCGCCGACTACCTCCGGCGCACGGGCCTTTACGATACCGAGCACGCCGCCCTCGTCCACCAGCGTCGGCGGCGGCGTCAGGTGAAGTTTGTCCACCAACTCGACCAGCCCACCAGCGGGGTGCTGTGCG